AAAAACCTCCCTTGCGTCCGCGTCCGCCCCAGCCCCCCCGAATCTTGATTACCCTGCTCTGTTCCTCCCCCTCTCCCTCCTTCTGAGAGAGCTTCACAGTCTCGCTGGCTGTTCCCTTGACCGGTACATGTGCACGTACCAGAGTTCCCTGGTCATCAGCGTCCTGGAGCCGAGGTTGGCAAGTGCTCCTACAGTCCTCAAGAATGAAGTGCCAGGGACGGTTTATTACTAATTACGAGCACCCGAGTCTGCCAGTGCTTGCTTTCTTTAAGCAGAGTTGAGCGTAGTCCTATGACAATGTCACTGTCACCCACTTCCGTGCAATAATGCTTTCTCGAATGGGAAAGAAAGTGACGCTCCATCTGGTCCTCTGGGAATTGGGCACAACCCAAGCTCATCTAAGCGCCCAGCGAATGGGAGTGGATCCTGGAAAATGCAAATGTCGTCTGCCTTGGGGCTTTTTCTCATCAGAAAAAAAAGGCTAAAAACCTAACTAAAGAACAGGCAGATGTTCCTGCCTGAGATTATTATTGTTTGGTTTTTGGTGTGTGTTTTCGAAGGTGAAAGCACCCTGGAAAAATATTGTTTCTCTCTATAATAGAGGTTAGATTTATTTGTTCGTTTGTTCGTTTGTTTTTACTACTTGTTATTTTCAACGGAAGACTGCAGGTAGTGTGAAAAACCATTCTGCGGGCTCTATTAGGATATTAAAAGTAGCAAATTGAAACGGCTTTACACGTGGAGGAAGGCTACTTTTGATGGATGAAAGTATATGGCGGACCGACCCCCTTCTCAGATATTTTCTGTGAAAAGATTACAAGAGAAGAATTAAAGATGGCATTGCTGTGCCTCAAAGAGGTTTCACATTTTACCTGTGCTTGTGGTTTGGGTGTTTCAAACATCTGTCTGTCACGTCCATGAGTATAAAGCACTTCAAAGCCATCTCATGTTTTCCCGGGAGGTAGCTTCGCGCTAAACTCGATTTTTCTTTCGCAGTCGATGTCGACAATCTCTATTTATGGTCTCGAATTTAACATAAAATGAAGACTTTACTCAAGCAGAAAGAATGCAATGAATCTGTAGTTTTTTTCTGTCTCGAGGGAGTAAACTCGTCACAGATCCAGAAATTTCTCAGTTAAAAGAAGATAATGGGGGTGAGTAGGAAGACGGAATATTTACATTAGTTACAACCCAGAGTGTGTATAATAAAATATCATTTCTTTGCAACTGCTTCGTGTGATCTATCGCAGTGGCTCTGGGGTCACTTTAGACCCAAAGATAGCAAAAACTTCTTAACTATGGAAATTCAAGAGATAGTTTTGAGCCTGGGTAACCTGAAAACTGGGAGTAAAAAATTAAGGCTTTGTGTACAAGTTAAGTGATTCTCTTCTTCGTTCAGTGCCTTAGTCTCCTCTGTAGGAATAAATTTTCTTGCCCAGCTTTATCAATAGCTTCATCATTGGCATTTAGATAGCGTATTCTTTAAAAATCAGTGAATGGTTATAACGATAGATACACAACTCTGTAAAAGAACTGAACACCATTTTCTCTTACATCTTAAATGGATTACGTGGTATGTGAATTATATCTCAATAAAACCATTATTAAAAAATTAACATGTAGTTATATTTGAAAATATTTTAGGGTTTTTTCCTTGGAAGACTTACCCCCAAAACGAAGTATTCTCGTGACTTTTTCAGTAGTAGACATTTTCACTGAAAGCCCCTTTTGTTCACCAGCTCAGTGACGTTCCCTGTCGCTCCTGCCCTGTGTGCACCCTTGGGTGGCCTAGCAGCCGAGTGCCCGAGGGTAGGAAGCTGTGCCCCGCTGTACCCACACACTTCCCCTCCTAGCGTTTGACATGTGTGCTGCCCACACCCAGACATGCCGGCTGGGCTTGTTTTCATAGTTATGTCGTTATAGTAAATGTTTAAAATAATCCATTTATATATAGGTTGTAAAACAAAGAGGTTTTTTTTTTTTTTTTTTTTTTTTGACGAAAATCATGGGCTTTAGAAGACGAGATAAAGGTAATTGCTACAAAAGGTCGATATTGACTTAGGCCTGGGAAGAACAATGGTGAAGGATTTGGGAGGAAGTCATCAGAACTGAGATGTGTGTTGTGGTCAGTGTATTCAGGGGACGGGCAAGTATTCTAAGTAGTACCCTCCTAAGTCCTCCCAAAGGCTGGCAGGCGTAGCCGATGCGGTGTGGTGTGGCTCATGCAAGACAAGACAGGAGGCCGAGTATATGCTGGCGTTCATTACAGTGGGATCTTTAAGGAAAGTGTATGGTACTTTTTCAGAATTTTTCACTGTAATAAAAACCTTTCTGATTAACCATCATAGTAATGGTTTCTGGAGTATTGAATTAGAGGATCTCTATGACAGGATTCAGAAGCATAGATGAAAACTTAAGAAATGCAGTGAAGTGGGAAAGGAATTTGGGATTGACAGACGAGAATGGGTCAAAGTTACAGAGTGTGTGTGTGTGTGTGTGTGTGTGTGTGTGTGTGTGTGTGTGAGAGAGAGAGAGAGAAACAAAAAATAATGAGAAACAGAAAATAAAACTAAATTTACCTGATTGATATTTACGTCCCCATATTCTTGCTATCCAGTGACTACTGAGACAAGTGGCAAAAGATGTTCATTCATCAATCTAACGAACTGTGATCTGACATCCACAAAGGACCGTACATTATCCCAGGTTCTGGAGACGTGAACACAAATAAGATATGGTCCTTCTTTATGCCTTCAGTGTCTTTTTTTTTTTTCATGTTTAGAAATGAACTCTCTTTACTATACATACATAAAAAGAAGGCAGCTTTGGTCATCTTTCGTAATGCTGTGAACATTTGGGCTCATACTTGCTCTTAAAGCAACGAGGTCTCTTATGCTCGTCCCACCAGAAACCCTGACTTTAATTCTCACATCTTCCAGAAGAAAGGATGCTTCTTTTCCCACATGGCAGATTATAGTTTGCGATTGATTATCCTCATGTTGGGTTCTTTCCCTTTGGTGTAACAGATAGAAACACACCAGAGAGCAGCAGATTAGGCACCAAGAGAAAGGAGTTCTCACGACAACTCCTACACCCGGGAATGACCAAAGGCAAGCTGAGGCCCGACTCACAAAATGGGACGAGGGTGGTATCGGAATCCGTCTTCTCTGAGACCGTTTCCAGTGCTCACGATGTCTGAGGTTGCTCCGTTGCCTTGATTTTAATATTCATCATGGGCTGAGAGTCCCTGACGAGGATATGTAAATAAAGCATGGAATTTGGAACATGTGTCTCTTTCATGTAAACAGATTAATACAAAGTACGTTCTAGAGTGTAAGCTCCATGAAGTTTGGGACCCTCTGGGTCTCATTCGTGGCTGTACCAGGAGTGAGATAGATGTTTTTTTAAAGCATGTATCATAGAAAGAAATGTAAATAGAGAGGGAAAATAAGAACGTAACCTTTAGATCTAAAGGAAAAAACTTTTAATTCAATTTATTGGGGCGACATTGGTTAATAAACTTATATAGGTTTCGATCGTACAATTGTAGAACACATTATCTGCATTTTGCATTGTGCGTGTTAACCACCCAAAGTGGTGAACCATATATTTGACTAGAAAATTCAGAAATAGGGTTCTAACTACCAGAAGGGTAATAGCTTGAAGTAGAAAGACTGGAAGGCAGATTTTTTTGCATATTTTTTGTTTTGTTTCCTCAAATGTGGGACGGCCTGGGGAAGGTTTCGGGTTAGCTCAGAGTACACAGATAGGCCGGTCACTCGTTTATTCAGAGGATGTTTAAGTATCCTCTTGATATGAGTGTAACGGTTGTCAAACTTTGGGATCTCATGACCCCTTTACAATTTCAGAACTTATTAGAGATCCAGAGAGTCTGTGTTTATCTGGCCTGTATCTGATAGGAACTACATTGGAAAGGAAACTGAGAAATTCGAAATCTCTACTTCGTTAACTCATTTTAAAATAATAATGAGCCCTTTACGTGTGAATGTAACATTTTTATGAAAAAATAATATTATCGAAAAACAATCAGTGAGATGATTAGCGTCGTTTCACATCTTTTAAGTTCTCTTAGTGGAATCTCGCGTCTGCTTCTGTAGTCAGCCTATCTCGATATGCCATTCGGTTGAATATAGGAAAATATATGAATTATACAGAAAATCTAGCCTTGCACAGGTGTGGAGTTGGAAGACGGAGGCCCTCTGGGCCCTGTGGGGGTCTCGGGAACCCCCACGAGTCTTCGAACCACACTGCGAAAACACTGTGAATATTGAAACATGAGTAGTGAATTTTGTTTGTTCGCCAAATATTTATTAAGGGTTTGCCACGTGCCAGTAAATTGGGGGGGAAAAAACCAATAATCTAGTAGGAATAAAGAATTTGGGGGTCGAGGCAGAGTCGGAGTTTGGAGTTTCTTTAAAAGGCTTATTATCCACTCTGGGGCTGGGGGCTGGGGGCCCGAAGGACGAGGGAAGAGTGACACGGAGCACGGGGAGGGGCCGCTTATCACATGGCTGTGGAGCTAGATACTGAAGAAACTGAAAGATGAGGGAATAGAATATTTCTCATAGAAGAAGGTCTTGAGGGCCTATTTTTTTTAAGGCATTAGAGGATCCTTGATAAGTAAGAAGCAGCTTAGATCGGAGACAGTGTGGATTCTCGTAAGAGCGACGAGCGGATCTGCCGCCGAAGCGTCGGAGGTGGTCGCCACTGTGACCAATTCCGTCGGGAGGGTGTGACGCGAGTCGGGAAGGGGCGATCCCACCAGCCAGCCGGTCACTCGCCTACCTGGCGTACCAGCGGCTCAGCATTCATCGTTGGTTAAATCCGCGCGTGTTTACATTCTCGACTGTCTCTTTGAACCCTTCCAGAATTCTAACGAAAGGAGAGGTACCAAGTAAAATGTTAAATATATATGTTAACTTTTTGTGCACGTTATGTGCTTTGTTTCTGATGGTTTTTCCTTTGCTTTTTTTTTTCAGACCATCCAGACCTTTCAAGTTACCAAAAAGGTAAAGTGACCTGGATCATCTTATGAAATGACAGACTTACTTGCATGCGTCTCCCCTTCTAGCATTTTCTCCACCTTTTGCTGCTGTTTGCATTTTCCTCATTCATATTTTTATGCAGTAAAAAAGTTTTTTCCCCATGTTGGCTGCTTAAGGAATCTTGTATCTCCCAAGTGGTTTTAATCTCCAAGAAGATTTTGACTTGGATATATTTCAAATAGGTTGTGTTTCTTCCTAAAATTTTTGTTACCATTTTAAGATGGAGGTATTTTTTTTTTTTATGTAGAAATTTTAAAGTTCTATCTTTTCAGTAAGAAAAGTAACATTTTTAAATGGATAAAAGTTTCTGGGAAAAAGCAGTCTCATCAGATGTCTTTGTACATTGTGGCTCCAGATATAATATGATTATACCTAAAGAAACTCAAGAGATATTTGAAGTTCACTTCTTAAGACGTTCAGATGCTGATAATTCAGGAGAGTTGCCCTCTCTTTGGAGTGAAATTACTACATAAATTTTAATCAGTTAATGTCCCTTTCATTTAAAAAAATGATTTTTTAAAATTGTGATAACATACACACAGCATAAAATTTACCATTGTAACCGCGTTTTTTAAGTGTATCGTTTTATGGCAGTAAGTATATTCACTTTATTATGCAGCCATCTCCACTGTGCTTTTCCAGAGCTTTTTTTCATCTTGCAAAACTGAAACTCAATACCCATCAGACAATAACTATGCATTCCTCCCTCCCACAGCCCCTGGCAGCCACCATCCTACTTTCTGTCTCTCTGAATCTGACGACTCTAATGCCTCAGAGGAGTGGACTCGTTCCGTATTTTATATGATTTTGTGACTGGCTGATTTCACTTAGCATAATGTCTTCAAGTTTCATCTCTGATCTAGCATATGTCAAAATTTCCTTCCTTTTTAAAGCTGAATGATATTGTATGTATATCCTACCTTTTATTTATCCATTTTTACAAAAAAAATGTGGAAAAATAAAAGGAAGAGATTATACAAGTAAAGTTGGCATATTAAGAAAATGAATTTCTGTTTTTCTAAAAATAATAAGCCTTCTCAAATGACTAAAACTTGCATTTTGAAAAAAATTTGTATATATTTTTCTGTTTGAAGATTGATATTTTTAGAAGTTCTAATTTCTGCTTTTCAGTGTATGTAGATATAAATACAACTTCTTCACAAAGGCCTTTCCTGGTTCCCCTTTCTCATTCTAGCTGGAAGCAATCCCTTCGTTGAATTCACAAAACATTTTTATCTATATCCCTCTGAAACACGCATCTCTGCTTACCTGGTTTTCTAGGTATTTGTGTACCTACCTGTCTGATGTTATGTATTAGACTCTAAGTTCCTTTCGGACAAGATCCATGTCTGCCATTTCTATGTTCCCACAATGCCCTGCATCCTTAAATATGTAATGCTGCTTCTCGAAAGAGTTCGTTACTTAACAAGAAAGAAAGAGTTCTGTATCCTGTTTTCTTTTGTGGAATTTCTCCACCGTTATCCCTCCCGCTAAATGGATAACCGATGCCACTGGGTTTGTAGGTAAAAATGCGTAACTTCTGGTTCATTTGAGGAGAACCGATCCATTTAAAATAAAGCATAACGAGTAACTGTGTAACCGGAAACATTATGATTAGTAACATTTTGAAATGCGTACAGGAGGAATATGGAAGAGTTATATGGATGAGATTTTCAGAAAGGGGCAGTAAAGCGTTAAATATCGCTCGGGTCAGGAAAGATGAAAACCAGGACGAGTTGGTTGATTCGGCAGTTCCAGAAGCGTCTGAGAGCAGAAACCGGGCTGGCAGTGGTTGAGGACTGGGTGGCTGGTCACGAGAAGGGGGCCTCCAGCCCAAGGCCCTTCTTACCGTCTGGAGTCTGTAGCAGGGCTTCTGCTCCGAAGGGGATCGGGGACAGAAGAGAGAGTTTCTAGAAAGGCATTGAAGGGCAAAGGGGAAAAAACCTTTGTTGCTAAGAGAGGAAAACTTCCTGTGGAGGGTCTTATCGTAATACAAATGGCCCATTTAAAAGAGGCCCCCATATGATGTCACTTGAGCACAAGTCAGCCCTGGAAGATCTAACCCAGGCAGCTAGCTGGTGAGGCCTCCGGGACAACTGTCACGGGGTCACTCACTGGAGCAGGATTGCCTGCTGTGACCCAGGTGTCGCAGGGGCCGATTGCATTTACACTCACCTTGTGGCATTATCTAAAGATGTCCAAAATTAGACCAGACAGACGAAAGACAAGTATCATTACGACACGCAGAAGAACATATTCTAGTGATGGGAGTGGTCCTTTCGAAAATCCTTCGCATGTACATGCGGTAACCACTTTTCAAAGAAAATAATGTGCGAGTACTTTATTCTTTAAACTTAGTTAGACTATGTGCCCCGAACCCAGACTCACCAGGAGTGGAATTAGCGAAAAATAACGTAGCAGTGAAATTTTACAGGCCATTTTTAATTTTCTTTACTTCCCCAATGTTCCGGCTTTATGAGATTTTTATCTCAGTATTACAACCACCGTCTGAGTTTCCCGTTGTACGTGAAACCGTTGTTCCCACGGGGCACCCACAGCTGTGTGGCGATGGCAGGGCAGGCAGACGCGTCCTGCGCAGTGCTACGGTTTTAGGAGAAGCTCTCGTCTGAGTGACACTCAGAACAGTGGGGGCTTTCCCCGTGCCGCTTCGTGTGCTCAGGACGGAGATGCCATTTCTCAGTGTGAGCCGTTGTCTCTGGGAGAGGGTCAGCGTGTGCAACACCTGTGCGAGGCAGTGGAGTGTAACCTGGAACAGGTAAACGCGTGTGGAAGAACCGTGAAGTCACTAACGCCCTGAGGTCCCCGTATGCACTCAGCCCACGTGCATGGCATGCAGCAGCGCTGGAAAATCAAAACCAAATGTTTTCTAAAGGAAGAAAAGCATTATTGAAGCGGGTTTTTAGGGTTGCTACGCATGCCTGTGTAGATTTTTCGAGAACAAAAAACAAAAAGGCATTCTGGGGGTAAATTGAACCACAGTATGAAAACTAAGCAATTTGAGGCTCACTCCCTTCTATTGAAAACATGTTTGGAGGTAAAAATGAGTAACTTCTGGTTCATGTGAAAGAAAATCGATCTATTTAAAATAAAGTATAGTGAATGATTAGATAAGCCCGGGGCCATTTTCATTTCACAGGGCTGATATTTTAAAAGATTTAAAATGCAAAGGACTCCTAAGCGATGAAGAGAAAGTCTCAAGTGTGCTATTGACAAAGGACTTTATTGCTCCAAAACCAGCTACTTTCATCTTAATTTGCATTTGGCGGAGGAGGAAATAAAGGGTAGGGAATGTAAGCATTGGGTGTGTTCTAGGAACGCAAAAGCTTCTGACCACTTGGTGTTTACAGGCGAACAACCACAATCAGCATATTGTGATTTGTGTGTTTTTATTATATTCCGAATTATTCTTAAAAGGTTATTTCATCTTATCTAGCATTATTTTCCTGAGTGAGTTTTTAAATCCAGAATTTACAGTCTAGTGAATAATATTTAGACTTGAAGTCCTATGGATCTAGGTGATTTTGCATAGAGAAATTAACTATTATTGTGGCTTAGGAATTCAGCCGAAAACTGAATTTTAGAAGCATATATTTGCGGTGAGTTGACTTATCCCTGATGCCTTTTGCTTCTCTTGTGTTTGAAGCAAGAGATGAAATCGTAGTGGTTGAGAAGCCAGACTTTAGAGCCAGACTACCTGGATTCTCTGCTTTGTGACATTTTTTAATTGAGGAATAATTGACATAACATTCTATTAGGTCCAGGTGTGCAACATAATGATTCGGTATTTGTGTGTATTGCAAAATGATCACCACGGGGAGTCTAGTTAACACCCATCACGCGTGTGTGTGTGTGTGTGTGTTTACAGATTTTTCTTCTTGTGATATGAACTTTCGAGAGCTACTTTTCTAACAGATCTACAGTACGATATTATTAACCGTAGTCACCATATTGTACATTCCATTTCGTGACTTATTTATTTCACAGCTGGGCCAGTTTTGTGACTTCGAACGCGTTATTTGGCCTGTCTGCCTCATTTTCATCTCAAAAGTGAGAATTCAATGAGATGATAATCTAAACAAAAGATGAGAAGAGCTGAAACTCCTCGTAAGGGCAGTTGTCATGCTTTATTTTTCTAAGGCTACTTTTCACTTTTAAAAGTGAAAAATACCCGTGAAAATATCCCCTTAGTGTAACTACTTTGTATTTTAATTTCCTTATTAAAATTTAATTTGCGGTAAATATCCCCGCAGATCCAGATCTATGAAGCTGAGAAATCAAAATATGAGCATCAGCAATCCATGTGAGAGACAGATAGTAGCTTTTTCAAAACGACGTTTCAAGTCGCCAGCTTTATTTAAACTGCTGGCATCTGGAATGATGTTGAAGAAAAAACACAAATATTCGAGTAAGGACCCTATTTCAGATGAGCCAGAAATAGCCACGACAGTAGCCAAATGAGCTAACATTGATGAGAATTTGAAGATAACTGTCCACCAGTTAAACGTTTCTTTGTTCTCTAATAAAAATGTGAGAAACTCGAAGTTGGCAAGACCGATTTTGGATTTTAGAAACGTTCAGTGGCGTCGGCTTCTACTGAGTAGTCAGTTCAAGCCAAGATCTAGAAGCGTCTGGGTCATGAGGCGTGGCCCCGGATCTCATGGAGTGACAGAGAAACAGGTCTTCTCGGTCAGAGGTGGAGAACGAGCGAGAGGGAGGGTTTCTGGAGGAAAAGGCATGGCGGTGGGATTCGGTGAGAGGGAGGGGCTTGCGAGGTACAGGGAGACGCCTAAGCCAGGCCGCGGCGGCTGGACAGTGATGGAGCGTAGGTACGTGGGCGTCTGCTCATCTAAGTGGTAGATAGTTATCAAGCACCTTTTAAAAGATGCCATTCTAGGTGCTGCCGCCGCACTGCATAAATAAGTAAAACGAAAATCTCTGCCATCACAGTCTGATGGATGTGCTCATTATGGTTTTAGCTTGGAAGGAGAGTTACAGGTTTGTGGGCGGTTTGGTTTGTTTGGTTTGGTTATTCTTAAGATTTACACCCCAGGAACCTGCTTATGGGCTGAGTTCTTTCTCAGGAACCGGTAGAGTAAAAGTACAGAGAAAGGGAACAACCAGAGCACCGGAAGTTCTGGAAGAGACTCCGAGGGGGGATGGATTCTCCGTGAAAACACGTGTCCTTTTCACCCGGATGCAGATGTTAGCTCTTCCCTTTTCCAGGCGCGGTTGTAGATATAAGGCATCATTTCTCCGAAATAGACAGTATTCTGACTCTCGGGAGCCTGTGGCATGTGACACTGCTACTTTGTCACAGAAATGAGAGGACGGCGATCTTATAATTTTCTGTAAATACATAGACATACTTATCATTTCCTTAGATCTTTTACTGGTAGATACCTGTAGTGGGTCGGAATAGGAAGACTGAACAGGTGGCTCTACTGGGTAGCAAAAAACTCTTACGTTGCTTCTAAGCGGCCTTTTCTGTGACTTCTCTGCTTCTGTAGTTACGCAGCCTTGATCGCCGACTGGCCCGTGGTGGTTCTGGGCCTGTGCACCGTGCTCATCGTGGTCTGTGCCTTGGTTGGCGTGCTGGTGCCCGAGCTCCCAGATTTTTCCGATCCGTTGCTGGTAAGGAGAACTGAGCCGGGAGGGTTTATCTCTTTTCTTTAGCCCAACATCCTCTCTAAAAATCAAGTGTGTTAATACACGTTGCATTACGTTATATAGTATCCCGTTTTTTAAAGAAGAAAAACCTTCTGGAG